CTTCCTCTTCGTCACCTTCCTGGAGATTCTGCCCCAGGAGTTGGGGGTGCCGCGGAATCGCATCCCCAAGGTGATCCTGATCCTCGCCGGCTTCGCGTTGGTCAGCGCCATCCTCTTCGTCAAGGGATGAGATCTGCCGGGATCTGCGCCCGAGCCTTGGAGGATCCCGTGGGATTCCTGTACCCCGAAGTGCCAAAGTGCCTCTCCCAGCTCTGTGCCTCAGTTTCCCTCTCTGACCTGTCCTCTTTCCCAAGCCCAGCCTGGGACCCCATTCTTGCTCCCACCCTGCACCCCCCTTTTCCAAAGTGCCAAAGTGCCTCTCTCAGCGCTGTGCCTCAGTTTCCCCACAAGGGATCGGTGCTGTGACCCCCCCCAGGACACCGGGAGGGGGTGAGTGTCCCCCCCACACCCCATAACCACAAGTGCCCTTACAGACTCCCCCGGATTTGGGGGTGTTGGATGAAGCAAATAAAGAACTGAACCCCAAATTGCTGCCTGTGCCTGGGGAGGGTGGGACGGAATTTGGTGTCGCAGTGTCCTCCCTTCATCCCCCAGGATATATGGGCTGGGGGAGTCTGGTACCCCCTAATTTGGGATCTGGGGGGTTCCTGCTCGGTTCCCAGGCTTGGGGAGGGGGTGACCCCGCTGTACCCCCAGAGCCGCCCACATTTCTGAGCCCCTCCATTCTCGTCCGCCCCATTCCCCTCACGGCGCAGACCACGCCCCTTCCACAGGCCACGCCCCTTTCCCGCCCCGCGCTCTCGCGTTGCTCTCCGGGATTTGTAGTCCCAGCCTCACCCCCAGTACTTCAGAACGCCGCGCCTGCGCAGCAACGCACAGACCGCTGGGAGTTGTAGTAGTCCAGACACCCAGCACACCCTGCTGTTGGCGCGGCCTGCTGAACTACAAATCCCGGCGTGCCGTGCAAAGGGCCCCTCCCTGGAGGGGGTCCCTTTAAAGGGCTCAAAACTTTGAGGGGTATTAAAAAAACTTATTCACTGAGTCAAAAATAAAATAACAGAAAAATCAGAATAAACCTTTGGAATGCTTATCTTCCCCCCCACACACCCTCAGTCTGGCCCGGCTGCTGAGTTCTGAACTGGCTGAGTTCTGGCCTGGTTTAGTCTGGCCTGGCTGAATTCTGACCCTCCCCAGCCCAGCCAGGCTCAGGTGAGCATCTGCAGGATTGTCACAGTTGAGGTGGACAAATGACACACACCTGTCGAAGGAAGGAGACCAGGACACCAGATGGTTCATCACACGTCCAGTTTACCGAGTGTTATCAAACACTCATACAGCAAATAATAAATTTATGAATATTCTGTAAGCCAAGCAATCTATTGGTTAAACTATAGCATTAACTCATCCACATTCCTTTGGGCCTACGTTCTCTACTTCTCACATCTCGCTGTCCATTTCTTTATCATACTCAGCTAAGCCCAAAGACACACTATCTTGCAAGTGCAAGACTTAGAATTAGCCACAGTTTTGTACTTTTCCAGTCTCTTGTCAGCTAAATTCCCAACATACACACACTTGTGCAAATACAGTAACAGCGCCTTCTTTATTATTATGAATTGCTCTCCAGTTTTACACTCCTAAAAAAGTATTTGCACCAAAACAGCGCATCACATTCAGACATTCAGACATCAAAAATTTTTTTTCAGAAATCATCATTTCAGAAAGTATAATTTCAGAAAACAGCAGCTTATTGCATTTTGCCAGTCCAAAAAAAAAAAA